TATTTCTGTAATGGGCTATTCACCTATCCTATAACCTCGAAGCACGCCTTCACTATCACAATTTTTCCTTGCTTATTCAAATCTAGTGTGGTGTGCCATTTCGAGCAGCTTTTATGAAAACCCTTCACACTACACGCTGGTGTTCTCACCGCCTTTACCCTTGTACTGGGAATGTTGATCAGAGTCTGCTATAGTGTTACGCAGTCCTCCATTCCTAGGTCTTATCAGAATCTTCCTCTTGCCCCGTAGGATCCGTCTGTTATCTCCCTGGTTCAAGTATTATAATCGACCCCTGCCACACCCTCTGTGCTACTCGAGGTGTTATGTACCACTTCCTGCGTCTGGGTGACTAATTCTAGACTAAAGTCTTTAAGTAAGTATTATATTCAAGCCTTTGCTATATGGACCATGTCTATGGTAAAACAGGCCTAATTTCAGCCAACTAGCTCTGGTATCCGCCACATCTATCCTGTTTCTATACGTAGTACCAAGTATATGACTTAGTATGCCCTATTTGTGTGCTAACCTACAAATATTGTGGTACAGCTTTCTTTGATTAGGTTCAATGTTAACCCATAACGTTGTGGGTAAGAAATTGTGATAGTGAAGATGGGATACGAGGATATATGAGAGGCTAATAGCCCAGGACAGAAGGAGAGATACTACAACTATTTAGCACACATTTGGTCTAAGGATAGGCTTTACTTGTCTCTTTGACGAGTTGTAGTATGGTGCTAAGAATAACAAGACCCACTGAAGATGCCGAATATAATGCAGGCGAAACGTCTGGGAATGTACCATGTCCATGGTCCGACTTTGGAAATTATCATGCATACAATGGACTCTGGACTAGGTGGGTTTCTCTTCATCTTCTTACCAATATGACCAAGTTGCGAAAACAAGGTCAAACAACTTATCTACAACGGAAGGATACTGCGACTACACAAACGTCCACACCATCTTGGTCTTCATTTCTTCGCTTATGGTAAAGTAAGTTCATCAACTAAACCAGATTTTCCAGATTACTAAAGGCTAGTCATGCCCTTCCTCTGGTGGTTAAACGTTAATGACCCAGACAGAGGGGTTAGGACAGGTGGTTTGTAACTTGAACTACGCATTTACAAGCTTAAATCTCATTATCTCAACCATACTTGCTTGCGAACTGACGCGTTCTCAGTCAAGCCTTTTTCTTGGATCAGTAAGCCTTGATGACCATAAGCTGACATCAGCCTTTTTCGGTCACTGATTCAGGACCAGTATCGCGTATAGACGTTAACACAATCTTGGGCAAAAGTAGCAGGATCAGTATGAAAAACAATTGGCCAAACCATCTTATATCTTGGTATGACAATTCATTTTCGCTTTCGAATATGAGTAAATGTAAGAGGTAAGATATAGTCGGATAGTATTCTTGCCCTAGTGTTAACGTGAGACTGTTGGAAGAATGAGTTCCAGCTCTGATGATGCCCATCATACGATGGACTAAATCTTAGTTCGTTTTCACCCGAAGCGTGGGCGAATGTCTCGTGGACTGCGTCAACCTGAACGTCGTATTAAAGGCAAACTGCTGTAGTGCAACGGTATTCGGCCGTCCTCTTTTGGTGAGATCAACCTGAGAGTCTTTGCTCAATGTACTTTTATACGAAATGCATATTACACATTTTGGCATATACTTTAAGCTAATAAGGTAAAAAGAATGTCGTAAAAATATTTAACAAAGCCTTAATTAAGGCAAAAAAATAAATAATGGAAATATTATCAAATGTTTGTTGCAATTTTTACAAACTTTTAAATATTTTTCTTCGTTGCTTCTAAGCCGGGCTCTTCGCCCCACCTTTGCTCTTTCTTAATATTGGCATTCATTCTGTTTTTATTCTATCCTCTCTTATCAATGCCAGGAGAACTTTTGGCAAGACTCATACTTGATTAAATTGCTTTAGGAATCGAACCTTATCTTGATTAAAGGCGGAAAAGTCGTGAATCACGATGACATTATTGAAGCTGATGTATTGGTTGAAAATGGAGTTATTAGGTAGCCTATATTATAATTTATTTTCTGATAGTAAGGTGGAACGTTCAATAGAGGTCGAAAATGACGTGCGGGTGATTGATGCATCAGATAAATTAGTAATGCCAGGTAGCAGCAGATATAATTTTACTATTTAATCAGGTGGCGTTGACATTGATTGTTCATTGATGAAGCCCAGCAACGCCTTCCCTGTAGCAGACAATAATTTTACAGGCTCTCTATTTGCCTTAAGAGGCGGAACTACTACAATATGTAGGTGTTACTGTTTTCTTATTATAATTATTTTTCATCTTTCAACTACTTTTGCTTTTATATTTAGTAAGCACCATACATACGGAGCCGAATACTTCTTTGGTTGCAGCATTTAATTCTTGGATGATAGAAGCTGGTAATCCCGACACAGGCTTACGCTGCGACTATGCTGTCTGCCCGACCTTACCCGGTTTCTCCCTTGATGTCGTGGATGAAATGCGCTCTCTTGTGTCTGATCATGGTGTTGCTTGTTTTTCTCTTGATCATCTGGGCCCCTCCGTTGACTATTCTTCTCAATGTCAGTTTAGTAGCACTGCATTTTTGGGTGGACTGTCCGCCTGTCGAGACCTAGGTGCATTGGCTTGTATAACAGCTTCTGTTTCCAAGATCATTTCGGATAGGATTTCAACTCGTTTGATAAACTGCTATCCTAAAATAGGTCCGGAAGGCCATATGCTTTCGAGGCCTGAACGTGGTGAATGTGATTGTGTTTCTAGAGCTGCTCTTTTGGCTTGTCATGCAAGTGATAAGATATGTCCTTTACTTATTCGTAGAATTTGCAGTGCTCCCGCACTTAGCACATTTTCGCAACTTCGTTGCAATGGAAATTTATCATCCGGTTTGATTTTTGGCATGACAACTGCTCCAGCTCTAGGAAGCAAGTTAAAATGCCAAGGCGACAGAGTTTTATCGTTTTCCTCCGATTGGAGCAGTGCTGCTGGTTGTGTTTCTAATCCACCGATCCGGATTGACCCTGAGGTCTCACAATATTTGGCCGCTCACTTGGCTGCGGGAGATCTGTCAGCAGTAGGATCTTCTCACTTGGCATTCTCAACCATCGTCAAGGCGTCTCTTGGTCGCGACGACTTTAGGCGTCTTCCTGAGGGGATAGCAGCTATTGGGGCTCGTTTGCCTGTAGTATGGCAAACATGTGTGCGTTCTAGTGGATTATTGGATCCTTGTTCCTTTGTTTCTGTTGTCAGCACTAACCCTGCTAGATTGGCAAATCTATATCCTCGAAAGGGCCTTATCTCCCCTGGCTCTGACGCTGATCTTCTGGTTTGGAATCCAGAGCATACTCTTGATCATGGTAATTGATTTGCTTTTTATATATCCGTAAATCTATGAGCTCCTTTCCGGGTTCATGTGTTTTTTTTCACGTATTAGAAACCGCTACTATTTGCATTGTGAAAGGGCTTTAACTTCTAAGAAGATTTCACTTAATGTAGGCAAATTCGTATGAGCCCTCACTAAAGTTACGGCACTACCTCGTGTTCAAGCGACCCTCTGTACTTTACTACTTGCTCTAAGTAGAAAATACTGGCTTCTTTATCAGCCAGGTTTTATGGGGCATCTTTTTGAGTATTTTCTGTGATAGTGACTACGCTGCCTACTGTTGTATCATTTCTCATTATTTGAAGCCTTTCATTTTAAAAATATGAGGACCTACAAATTCAGGTTTACCTAAAACGGTTATATTTGTAATGATTGACGATGTTGATTTATGAACGAATGTTAATTTGTTTTTAGTCTTAATAGCTAATTGATATTGGGCTAAAACCTTTATCCACCTCCATAGGCCTCTCATAATTTTACTGATTAGCCCGTGTATTTTCTCACCAACGTTAAGATCCGATTTATTGACCGTCACTTATTTATATGACAATAATAATGGTTTTACGTGAACATCCTTTTCGGTAGATTCTGCTAAGCTTGGGGGTAGCACTAATCGCATTTAATTATAAGAAATGTTATACTTTGCAATTTACTTTAACTTCATTTTTAGGAATTATCTACCGTTCATATTTTGTTAATTATGTCTCAAAAACTTATCAACAAATTCTGAACTTAGGATTGCTTATCTGCTGAAGAGCACTTCCTACTCAATGAGTCCCAGTATCAATAGGTCTTGAGATTACGCTTTACACTGAAGATCACTTAATATTATTAGCAGGCTACGCTTGTTCTTTGATTTGTGGAGTCTGTGAAATTGTAGTTAAGTTTACAAGTTACTATACTCATAACTTGTTATCTCATTTTATTATGCTACTTACTAGACAGATAGAAATGTGTTTAAGGTTCGCTACCCGATTTTGTCCACCATCCTCATTGCCTAGCCTTGTCATTCAAAATACCTGATGGCTAGGGAATATTTTTAAACTTGAAAATTTGATGAAAGTTCCATGTTAATAATGGATTGCATTTTAGCACTATTCATCCTATTATCC